AACATTTATCTGTTGGAAGATTAGATTATGTCCCACCAGGCGCTGGAGAATCACACTATTTGTCTCTTATGCTACACCATAGTCGAGGCCCATTATGTCACGAAGATATCAGGACCATTGATAACGTCATCTATCCAACGTTTAAGGAAGCATGCTATTCCTTGGGTCTTTTGGATGATGATAAAGAATATATTGATGGTATATTAGAAGCGAGCTTTTGGGGTTCTCCACATTTTCTTCGAAAGCTGTTTGCATCTCTAATAATTTCTGATAGCGTCTCTAGACCAGAGTATGTGTGGGAAAATACATGGAATTTCATGTCTGATGACATTCTTTACAGGCAACGGAAACTCCTAGGAATTCAAGGTAAACTTTTTTTATTTCCTTTAGCTTGGAAACTATTAAATTTTTGAGTACATAAGTTTCTGTCTATATGCTTATTTAACTTAAGTGAATTATAATTATTATACAGGTTATTTATTATAACTAGAATTATCACAATATATTTACTATTCTTTCAGACCAATTAAATTGTTTTTACTATCTTTCTTTGAAACAGAATTGCATCTAACAGATGAACAGTTGCGGAATTTTGCATTAGTCGAGTTAGAGAAATTGTTGCAATCTAATGGAAAATCTCTCCGAAACTTCATTGGTATGCCTGTTCCTGATGATTCCTTGATAACGGATGCAAATAACAAGCTCATCCAACAGGAACTTTTATATGATCGTACACAATTAGAGACAGAGCACATTCAACTTTATTCTTCTTTGACTGTTGAACAGAGAGGAGTTTACACTGAAATTTTAAATGCTACTGCGAATAATGTTGGTGGAGTTTTTTTCGTCTATGGACATGGTGGTACAGGCAAGACATTTATTTGGAGAACGTTATCCGCTGCTTTGCGAAGCAAAGGTGAAATTGTCATCACTGTAGCTTCGAGTGGAGTTGCTGCTCTATTGCTGCCTGGGGGTCGAACAGCCCATTCTCGATTTGGAATACCCATCAACATTACTGAGAAATCCATGTGTAAGTTCTCTCCTGATTCTGAGTTAGCCGCTCTTTTGCAAAAAACAAAGCTTATCATATGGGACGAAGCGCCTATGATGAATAGATATTGTTTTGAAGCATTAGATCGAAGCTTGAAAGATTCGTGTACCGATCCTTCTAAAAAGAGTCTCCCTTTTGGAGGAAAAACTGTTGTTTTTGGTGGTGATTTTAGGCAAATTCTTCCTGTGGTTCCACAAGGTAGTAGAGAAGATATTGTTTTTGCCTCCATAAATTCTTCAAAATTATGGGATCATTGTAGGGTATTGAGGCTAACCAAAAATATGAGACTAACAGTTGGCCAGTCTCATGTCACTGCAAATGAAATTAAAGAGTTCTCCGATTGGATCATCAAAATTGGGGATGGTAAAGCTGGGGTTGAAATTGATGGAGAAACATATATTGATATTCCTGATGATTTACTAATTAAAGGTGCAGATGATCATTTAGCAGCTATTGTTGAAAGCACATATCCTTCAATAATAAGCAACTTTTATGATCCAACATTTTTTGAAGGGAGGGCCATACTTGCACCAACAAATAGTATTGTTGAATCGGTCAATGATTATGTGATGTCAATGATCCCCGGCGAGGAGCGTACTTATTTTAGCTCTGATAGCATTTGCAAGGCATGTGGTGATTCAGCCAATCTACATTCGGTGTACACGACCGACTTCTTGAACGCAATAAAATGCTCTGGAATTCCAAATCATATCTTAAAACTCAAAGTTGGTGTTCCGGTGATGCTGATACGAAACATGGATCAATCTTCCGGTTTATGCAATGGCACCAGATTAGTCATCACCCAACTTGGTGACCGTATCCTTGAAGCCAAGGTTTTATCTGGTAGCAACATTGGTGGTAAGGTTCTTATTCCACGAATGTTATTGAGTCCTTCCGATATTAGATTGCCATTTAAATTTCGACGGAGGCAGTTCCCGGTTATGGTATGCTTTGCGATGACTATTAATAAGAGTCAGGGACAAACATTATCTAATGTTGGTCTATATCTCCCCAAACCTGTTTTCAGTCATGGACAACTTTATGTTGCCATATCTAGAGTTAAGAATAGGCAAGGATTGAAAATTTTGTGCTGCGACAAGGATGAAAAAATTGTAAGTAGAACTAATAATGTCGTGTACAAAGAAATTTTTGAGAATTTGTAAGTAGAACTTTATGTTGCTTGAGAACTATGTTTTTGCTTTTACTGTTGGTTTAAATTTGCTATGTCGGTTATTTTTGAGTCAGTTTTATGTGTTTTCGTTCTTTGGATATTTTTTATGATGACTATCAAAATATTTGTGGGTTTGTCCTTGCTTGTATTTTTTATATATTTTCTGTTTTCTGGAAGTTGATTGTTGTCATGGTTTTGAATGTTGGATTAATGTAGTATGGCACTTGCTGTTTTGTATTGGTAATTTTAATTGTTGGTTACAGATGATATCCACATGATAAATATCCCTACAGGTTGAAGTTCCACTTATGATAAATTTTCTTGTTTTGAAATTTCATGTCTGGTGATGCCTAATGGAAGTTTTGAGTCAAGTTGGTCGTAGTATAGTATGGCAAATTTAATGTGATCAGTTTGTTGTGGAAGTCCAGGAACCTATGGTAAATTTCAAAATTCCTCAATGCCGGAGATGGAGGTGGTGAAAGCTGCTATGAGGGATTGGACAGAGTTTAGTTTTTCTGCTAAATAACTATTTTGTTTCAGGTTGGAATGGATTATTGCTAGGTCCTTGTTTAAGGTTCAGTGGTAATTTGCTGCTTTCACCCTTCTTTTCATTTGGTTATGGTATTATTGTGTTGCTCATTGCTATTGCATTTAACCTGCTGGAGGATTCAATGATTGGTACTGTCTTTAGTAGAGGGACTATTGATGTTTTTGTAATATGTGTGTTATTATTGGTAGTAGTTCAGTCTTATTACAGTCTATTCATTATTAGCCACATACAAATGTTGTTTCACAATTGGATGGCTTAATATTAGTTAGAAATTGCTTAATTACTTAACCCTCATCATCTGCTGCTTGGGAAATTTCTTAGTTTTGTTTGTTAGACCCTTTTTGGAGTACTAACATGGTTCTATATTCATTTGTAATAATTAGTTGCCGGTGGAAAGTCTGAAAATGCATGAGTCAAGATGAAGTGAACACATAATTACATAAACTGTTGAGATATTGCCATTGGTATTTGGTTGTACATAAGTTGCTGCAATTTTAGTTAGTAGGTTTTGTCCATGACAATGGTGAGTGTTTACTAACACAAGAAAAAGTGATTCGTACAGTTTAGCAAGCAATTAAACGAAGAATCTTCATGTTTTAGCAAGTAATTCATATGTATTACACGGAATTGTTTAAGCAATTACCCTTGTGATTGGAAGACATTCTCTTACTACCTGTGAGAAACATACCTGGGACAATGAGAATGAAAGTTTAAAATGTTTGCCTTATTATACATCATCTAGAATTTGTCTCATAGGAATAGTTATGGGGAAAGATGAGCCCCCTTCATGTGCCCATATCTAGGATTTGTCTTCCTTTGCAGGTTTATTATCATCCACAGACGACATTGACATTTGTCAACCACTCGCACATACTAAAATTAGGAAATAACATATTTGATCTACAATTTTTGACTGCTGATTATCACATTTCATCACATTCAGAAAAAATGTGATATTAACGTCGCAAATTCTTTGTTGCGGCAATAATGAGAATATTGTAAATCGAAGTAATAATGTTGTATACAGATAAGTTTTTTAAAATTTGAAATAATATTACGTCTATTTTTATTTTATTTTTTATTTACTATTTTTATTTTTAAATTATTACTTAAATTATTGTAGTTTTACCTCTTGTGAAACATAATTTCTTTTAATCACCCGTGTAGTACACGGGTGTTGTACTAGTATGACATTTAATAACAAAAATATCCACTTCCACTCTATATATAATTTTAGAATTCGCTGAGGCTACGTGACAAATTATCATGCTTCAGAATCCTATTTCGCTAAAAAACATGCTTTGGAGTTAGGGTTGGATAAAAATTAATATTTGTATTAATTGTATTTTAATATCATTTCTTATTATAATCATTGAATTGCAAACATATTTTAAAAGTTGATAACTTTTGTATTTCTTATCGGTTTTACATATACAATATATCAAATTAATCATCTTTTGATGAGCTTCGATTTGACATCTATATTGTATATATAAAATAAATAAATTATATTTATCTTTATAATAATAATAAAATTATTGATTAAAATTAATTAGAAAATAAAATTATTTATCAATTAATATATTTATGTTTAATGTAGTTATATGTTATAAGATAGAAAATTAATTATGATATAACACATATAAGTCGCACAAGTAACATGTGTCATACTAAAATATATTAATATATACTCCCTCCTATTTTTATTATTTGTCACTTTGGCTTAATTGATCATTGATAAAATAAATATCGTTTTAGATATTTTGTTCATATTTTTTCATTTTTAACTCTCTATGTAATACACAATTGTCTCTTCATATCTCATCTCTCTAATACACAGTTGTCTCTTCATATCTCATCTTCATCGTTTCCCATAACATCCATTAAATAGGTTAATATTAGGAATTTCGTTTGTATTTTACTATTTATTGATATATATATGAAATACTTTTATCTATGAACTAGGCCTATTAGTAATATATTACTAATAAGGATACAAAATACTTTTATCTATGAATTGATACAAAACATTAATATATATCCTTATAGATAAATTTAAATTTATTTATCAAACTAAATTATATTATATCAAATAAAATTACAAATTATATTATAAAGTAATAGAAATTGTCCCCCAGGGCATGTAGCCTAGTGGCTAATAGGGGAGGGGGAAGTTCCCTGTGAAGCCAGAAGTCACAAGGTCGAACCTGACTATCGTGAGAGTGGGAATGGGGCATCTAGCTCTCCTGGGTGGATTAGTCCTTCCCTCTGGGGTGGAGTTTAGTGGTCTACAAGGGCCATGGACTATGAGGTGCTCCTTCTGTGGGACCGAGGTCCAATGTGGCTGGACTAGGGGATAAATCACAGATGAACGTGGGGATACCATCCNTATTCTTTTAAAAATGATATTTATTTTAAATCTAATTGGTATGTTGTCAATGTAATAAAAATAAATAATTATTATATGAATTCTAAAATATGATATAAGTAAAAAAATTCAACAAGGGTTGATATTTTCATTTAATATACGGGTGTTTAATTATTATGATTAAAATAATATAATTTGACAATTTAATTAAAACCTAAAGTAATGTTTTATATAAAATTAAATTATTTTAGTTTTTAAAAAATAAAAATTTAATTTTTTTACAAAAGCTTTCTAATTCAACACCCGTGTAATACACGGATATTGTACTAGTGCACTTTTATTAAAAAATATGACAAGTAGATCGCACTAATATTGACAGCCTCATGTAAGAATTCATGTAAATTTTAATGATTTCCCCAATCATAATTGCACGGAGGGAGGGCAGAAACGTAAAACACAAAAATCCGAAACCCAAACCGCAAATATAATCAGCTCCTAATAATGTCGAATTTAGTGTAAAGCGCCTTTTTTAATCTCGCCTCTCTTCCTCTGTGTGGGCCTCCACCTTCTCTCTACCTGACCAGCCATTCACAGGAGCGCACACACATTTTTAGAGAGAGAAAATACAAAAGAAAATACACCTTCAAACGCACACAATCCATCCAGCAAAATTATAGAGAGAGAAAGCTGGTACCTCTACTTTCCGCAAAAAAAAACACACATCTACGCGTCTACCTGCGGTGCACCTACACTGACATTTTTCGTTTTCTGAAATTGGGAAGCAAAAAGTTGGAGCAGAACAAGCAGCTGGTGAATTTTTTGCTCAGAGGAGATAGAGGAGCTTTGCCTTTAGTTCGTTTTTGGTTTCGGCCGGCCGGTAAAGTATCGGAGTTTCCGACCGGAGGTCGGAGACAATCTTTCTCGGCTAGTCGAGGCTTGATCGCGCTCTGTGTTGATGATCTGAGGAGCAGGGGGCCGAGTCTTTCGCGCGTGTTCGCCGATGGTACGTTGATGTTGTAAAACGACTCATTTGCTGCCGTTTTGATGTGTTTCTGACTAGCCCTTGGCTTTGTTTTGACTAAGGTTTTGGTCAAAGTTGATTCAATTTGGTAGCCATAGGCGAGATACTTGTTTCTATATATGTATGTATATATGTAGGTATGCCTTTTCTATATTTGGCAGTCGGACCTGAAAAATTGCATTTAGAGGCAAACAATGGTGGCTGTTGTTTGACACCAAAAGACTCGGGGGCTGAAAGTTGAAGTAGAAAGGAAAATTGCAGTGATCAATTCATGACCAGGAATTTATTTTGGTCAAATTTTCAGAGGATTTGTTTAGTTTGGGAGCTTAAACGGTTTTTAAAACTTAGAAATGCGGTAAGTTAGAGATTAGTGATATGATTTATTTTACCTTATAAAGAAGTTGATAAATTTTGCAGTAATTCAATGCTTCTAGTTATAGTTTTTGTACAGTAACAGTCAGGTGCCCGGTGATATATATTTAGTTCTTTCAGCTGGAGCATATTAATGGCGATGATTCTGAGCAAAAATCCAAAACTTGTAGGCCTTTCTTAACAGCTTCAGTCCTAGTATATGGGACAGGTTAATAAAAGCTCTTCCACTTTGAAGTATTATTTATTGTTTTATAAGCTGTGAAACAGTCCTAGATTAGAATCATTAGATGGACTTTTCGGGATTTTAAAATAATGGTAGCCAAACAGCTTCTGAATTTCTAGTCCCAGTTTTAGGGCATTATGATGAAGCCACCAATGTACAAGTCAGGTATAGCTGTATAGGGTTGTTCATTCTACAAATGCTGGTATAGTTTTTTTTTTATCCTTTGTCTTTTTCGTCTTCTTCTTCTTTACACACACACACACACACATATAATTATATGTATATATATAACCATGCAACAGTAGCTTTCAGTTTGGAACTCATTCCATAAGATCCTCTCCCTCAGTCGTCTCTCCCAACTTCTCAAAAGTTCAGTCTGCATATAATTAGATATACAGGGTAATGCAACTTACTATAGATCTTACAAGGAGCCAAGCTGTTATATAATATATAAAAAAATTTAACCTAATAATAGATGAGACAATGAACTTGAAACTGGGACTCTGATAGATATCATATTTTTGTTACTTCAGACGTTGACATTTGGTTGCTTGAAAAGTGTATGATATATTTCATAGTTAGGATCGATTATTAGAATAATCCTTCCTTCATCTTGGGTTTAACAAATATTGTACCTCATATGTTTTCCCATTCCCGAATATTTGGGAGTGAAAGCAATTTTTGAAGTACTATCTCAAACATCTCAAGAAATGCCAGTGTGCGCTGAGCCTATTCTCCCTTGTCACCACACGATGAATGACATTTTCTCTCACAAGCAAAGGTTCCATCTCATCCAATACCCTGTTGCTGACTGGTCATAATCACAAGCCTGGTGGCTTTCGTCATATAAAATCAAGCTACCATGAGACAACCAAAAAGGACTGGAAGCCATTCGGCTTCCGTTAACCCCTTCCCTCCTTTTTGTCCTGTTTACCTTTCGCCCAATTAGACAATTACCATATTCAATTAGCTCCTTCCTCTTTTCGTAGGTTAGACAACATTACAGACTTTGATTTATTACTCTTCTATGCAAACCTGTCAAATTGTGCTCCACGACTTAACCTCACCACTTTACAACTGTTCTCTTACCCTACTTGTTCACGAATGGACACCACACAACCTCTTTGCCTTAACTGTCTCTACCTTGACTTCCATTTTGCTACTGAAGTCATTTTCTGCAACGTTTTCCTTAGAGCTGGTTTCTTAGCAGTTTCTCCACACAGTTAGTCTGTTCTATGACTATTCATCTTTTCAATTTTTGTTCATCTAACTCGCATGGAGTACACTTTGTGTGTTAGGCTGAATGATGTATTTACTTCATTCAATTTGGAGCTGAAATTGAATCTTGAATACTCCCAATGTCTCAAAAAGATAGCGACATGACTAATTGGTTTGTCCCACAAAGATAATCATTTTTACTTTAAATAGAATTGTTGAAATATATTCCTTTTTGCCTCTAATAATTTGCTTGGATATCAACAAAATTGGAAAATTAAAATGTATATTATTATGATAAAGGAGGATATTAGGAAAATACTTATTAAATTTGACTATCCCAACAACTTTGAGGGATATTAGGTTAAATTGTGTAAAAAAGCAAACAAGCTTATTTTTGTGGGCAGGAGGGAGTATTACATATTCTCTGCAATGGTTGATGCTAATTTCCTGCAGCAATTGTGTTATATTATATATAGCACTGAAGCCATTTTAATGACTTGCTAGGACATTCTGTTAGTTTTTCATTTTTGATTTCTAGCTTAAAATTTACAATTTCTGTGGCTGCTCAGTCTAGTGCTCTTCCACTGTGGAAATAATTCTTTGCTCTGCTTCTTTCCAACACTCTTAGGCATATTACATGCTCCAGTGATGGATTATGGCTTATGGTATTCAGACATGTTATATTACACGATTTTGATGGCAAGTTTGTTATTTCTCCTGTTCTGCAGAAATGCATAGACTTCAAAAGGCATGCTTATTAATTTTCTTTGATAGTGTATTTGGTTTTATATAACTGAAACTAGGTTTTTATTTTTGTAGTTGTGTTATTGACGTCATTTTTTCATTATATAATTTTTCTTTAATCACACTTGGAGTTAATAACGTAGCTTGAGGTTGAAAGAATCAACATATGTAACCTGGGGAAATTAAAATAAATCCAACTCGGAGACCGATTGAATCTACAGACTAAATTATACAAACTGCAACAAGACTGTACAACATGCAGGAAAGTGTCATTTTCCCCTCGTCTGCCAGGGCGCACCATGTGTCAGTCACCTCCATAGTTGCTTCATCCACTTCAAGAGCTGTCTCACCCTTTCCCCTGATGAATCTGTTGTCAGTGTGACCTTTGTCATGGTTGCTATTTGCTAGCCCCTGAAAGTCCCTCTCCGGTTCTTCCTTTAGTCTGTATCGGTTCCTTTCGCGTCAAACCCCATTCTTTTACTGTCTCTATCCTGCCTCGCAACCAAATATTTTCTTACTGCCTAGATCTATTAAACTACTTTGATCATCTAATCTCCAAGGCGTTTTCTTCATAATAATACATAAGCACACTACAATTCAATGTATATAATCATTTATATGATGTTAACTAATAAATGCCTATGTGTTTATGTGCACGAGTATATGCCCGTGGATATATGACTATGGTCTCTGAGAAGTTTGGTTTTTTCTAATCAAGGTGATAGCTCTTCTTTTTCTTTTTCCTTTTCTAATCCTCGTTTTTAAGAATTAAATTCCAACAGGGTATTATTATTCTCAGTGAAGACATTTGGTCGACTGTGAGCATGAGGTACCATATGACTGAGCTATTAAATTTCAGAGAGACTCTGATGATTTTTTTCCTATAACATGCAGGCATCACCAGTTAACATCATTGTTGGCTCTCATGTATGGGTTGAGGATACAGTCTTGGCATGGGTTGATGGACAAGTGAACCGGATAGATGGCCAAGATGTTCACGTTCAAACCACGAATGGGAAAAAGGTGGTTCAAAAAGTAGTTCTTATTTGTTTTCAACATATGATGCTTATGAGATACCTATTATTCTGGATTATGCCGTTTTGGAAAGATTAAACTGCTCAAATTACTCTTTTTGCCAATTTTCAGTTTTTCATAGAATTATTATTGTTTAATCTTGATGAGGTCTTCAAGTACGTTTTCCAAGTGAATGCCTTATATTTAGATTCAAAATTTCTCTCATATTGTATTGTGGTGAAGCATCATCTCTTGTTTTCTAATTCATGCTGCTCTTGCTTGGAAGTAGTTGAGATGGGAAATCTAATGTACTCTAGAATGCAGGTTGTTGCAAACATCTCAAAAGTGTTTCCAAAGGATACTGAAGCTCCACCTGGAGGTGTAGATGATATGACTAAGCTTTCATATTTACATGAACCTGGAGTTCTGCAAAACCTCGCTGCTAGATATGAACTTAATGAAATATATGTAAGTTTATTGTGTCATTATAAATATTATTGGTTTCTCCATTAATTTTACTTTTTTTCCCTTCCATATGAATAGCATATCTATCTTATGTCTTTCTTTCTCAGACATATACTGGAAATATTCTGATCGCAATAAACCCTTTCCAAAGATTACCTCATCTATATGATACTCACATGATGGAGCAATACAAAGGGGCATCCCTTGGCGAGCTTAGTCCTCATGTTTTTGCAATTGCAGATGTTGCTTACAGGTATTTGTTGGAATATGCAAAATGAACTTATTCATGATTTTGTGTTTTTGAGGTGTATGTTGGTTGGGCTGAGATGAGGCATCACTGCCTTTTTCCTTGTTACTTTTTGTGCTCAGGGCAATGATCAATGAAGGGAAGAGCAACTCCATTTTAGTTAGTGGTGAAAGTGGTGCTGGTAAAACTGAAACGACAAAAATGCTGATGAGGTATCTTGCATACTTGGGTGGTCGTTCTGGAGTGGAAGGACGGACAGTTGAACAACAAGTTTTAGAAGTAAGATTGATATTTAATATTTTAATTAGATTCTGACTTCTGTTCTGCCAAAAGAAAATTGAAGAATAAATAAAAATCTCAGGAACAAATTATGGTCACGAAACAACTGTTCTCTCATTTGGTTTTCTTGTGAAAAAATGAATCAGTCAAACCCAGTGCTTGAAGCATTTGGAAATGCCAAAACTGTCAGGAACAACAACTCCAGGTAATTGAATATCTAATCTTTGCATTTGACAATATCAGAAAGAATGTATTTGTCAGGTGATACTTGGATGATCATTTTGATAAATGCATATCATATGAAACGTTAGCTATAACTCACTGAAATAATTATCACTGTGTTGCATTTTGCAGTCGTTTCGGTAAATTCGTTGAAATCCAATTTGACAAAAGTGGGAGAATATCTGGAGCCGCTGTTAGAACTTACTTGTTGGAGAGATCTCGTGTTTGCCAAATTTCTGATCCTGAAAGAAACTACCACTGCTTCTACCTTCTATGTGCAGCACCACCTGAGGTATCTGTTTGGAGTTCTCCTTGTATTTTAGTTCCTCGTTTATATGAAAGCTTTAATCCACACGTCGCTGGATATGCTTTCAGATTTGAGATCATCCGAGTCTTGTTCTGCAGGAAAGAGAGAAGTATAAGCTGGAAAACGCAGAATCATTTCATTATCTGAACCAGTCTAAGTGTTATAAACTCGACGGAATAAGTGATGCTGAAGAATACCTTGCAACCAGAAGGGCAATGGATATAGTTGGGATCAGTGAGGAAGAGCAGGTTAGCCTTAAAATGACTTCATTAGTCAAGTATTCAACATTTTAATTTTTCTACAATTTGTCAAGTTATTTCATCTTTTATTCAGGATGCTATATTCCGGGTTGTTGCAGCAATCCTTCATCTTGGTAATATTGAGTTTTCCAAGGGAGAGGAAATTGATTCTTCTGTGATTAAGGACGAGAAGTCAAGGTTTCATCTCAATACGACTGCCGAATTACTCAGGTAGGGGTGTTATCTTTTTGAATTTGGGTGAATGTTTCTAACTGGATTTACTGGTAAATTGTATATGACGAATTTGATTCAATAGGTGTGATCCAGGGAGCTTAGAAGATGCCCTGATCAAGCGGGTGATGGTGACACCTGAGGAAGTTATCACAAGAACTCTTGATCCAGAGGCTGCCTTGGGCAGCAGGGATGCTTTGGCAAAGACAATATATTCTCGTCTATTTGACTGGTATAAACAGTGCCCAGTAATTTAACTTGGGACACTACAGAAATATTTTGGTCATGTGTTTGCAATTCATATTGAACTGTTGTTCTTCATGACAGGATCGTGGAAAAAATAAATAACTCTATTGGACAAGACCCTAACTCAAAAGCAATAATAGGAGTTCTTGACATATATGGGTTTGAAAGTTTTAAGCACAACAGGTAATCTCCCATTTGTGTTCTCATTTTCAGTACACGTTAATGATATTGATCTTTGCCTGATATTCTTTACATTTACAACAGCTTTGAGCAGTTCTGTATCAATTTCACCAATGAAAAACTGCAGCAGCACTTTAACCAGGTGCATTTTAGGCTTTTNNNTTTTTGGAGTACTCCTAGTTTTTAACTAAGTAACCTGATCTGCTCACTGGAGGTTCGGTTGGATTGTTTCAGCATGTATTCAAGATGGAACAAGAAGACTATGAGAAAGAACAGATAAACTGGAGCTACATAGAGTTTGTTGATAACCAAGATGTTCTTGATCTAATTGAGAAGGTTAGTGAGACCATGGCATTATATTTTTTTATTGCATTTTCTGTTGCTTTTATGTAGATATTTCGATTAAGTATATCGTTGGCCAAGTTTTACATGGATGATGAATTTGCAATATTTCCTTGAATTTAGATTGCTTTACTGTCATAGTGCTCACCAAGTTTATCAATGTGTTTTTTTGGCAGAAACCTGGAGGAATAATTGCCCTGCTTGATGAAGCTTGGTATGCCTTCTAATAATCTTATTTTATCAACATTCATTTTTTTCATGCGCATCCTCCATCTCTGCGCTGCTGAGCTTTCATAATCCTTGGTCTTCTCTTGTTATTGTATTATGATTAATAACCGCGTCGAATAATTTCAACTGTCTCGTTCTTATGTTTTTTTTTTCCTTCTTTCTCTGGATGTGTATTTATTGTTGACACATGATACTGTTGTTTGTGGCAGTATGTTTCCTAAATCTACTCATGAAACGTTTGCTCAGAAGTTATATCAGACATTTGCCAAACATAAGCGCTTCATCAAACCGAAACTCTCACGAACCAATTTTACTATAGCTCATTATGCAGGGGAGGTAATGCATTATCGAGAAAAAGTTTGGATTAGAAGACCACTGTTTCCCAAGGAAATTGTTAACTATCTTCTATATCCATAGGTCACATATTTGGCAGATCTGTTCCTGGATAAGAACAAAGATTATGTGGTGGCAGAACATCAAGACTTATTAACAGCTTCAAAGTGTGCTTTTGTAGCTGGTTTATTTCCCGCTCTTCCCGAAGAATCATCAAAATCCTCCAAATTTTCTTCAATAGGGTCACGTTTTAAGGTTTTATTCTATCTCACTCTTCCATGTACTAAGAGTTTGTCATTATCTGTGCTTTTCATATGAAATACACTTGTCTTGAACTGGTTGTTCTACCAGTGCTAAAAATGCTAGGCCCATTTGGGTATTTCCCAGCTAATAGTCACTTCTTGTGAATACAAGATGTTGCCATTTAATTCAGAATTTTCCTTGACATGTTCAGGCAACATAATAAGTATCTGCTAAATTCTGAGTTGTTTATATTCATCAGTTGTATCACTTGTTCCTTGGGATATGTTAAATCTTCAATTGCAGTAGGAGTTCCACTTATTTCGACAAATTAAGTGCATGGTGCTTATGAACTATATTTTTTGCTTGCAGTTACAACTACAATCTTTAATGGAGACGTTGAATTCAACAGAACCTCATTACATCAGATGTGTGAAACCAAACAATATTCTTAGGCCAGCCATTTTTGAGAATCTTAACATAATTCAACAACTGCGATGTGGTGTAAGTGTTTTGTAAAAAATCTTGTTATTGCAGAATCTCACTATTGTGTTTTTAGGTTTTCATGAATCATGTTCAGCATTTTTTTATTATTATTTATTTTTCATTATGATATAGGGTGTTCTTGAAGCTATTAGAATCAGCTGTGCTGGATACCCCACTAGACGTACATTTGATGAATTCCTTATCCGGTTTGGTGTTCTTGCTCCTGACGTTTTGGATGGGAAGTAAGTTCTTCTGGCACTTGAAAGTTGAAACCAATTATTTCTTGAATTTTGCGCAGTATCTGGCATGCTTATATGTTTACCTGTCTTCACATTTCATATATTTCTGTGTTGATTGTGAATAAGTTCATGATATTTATTCCTGTAGCATTGATGACAAAGCTGCATGCCAGGTGATTTTGGATAAGATGGGACTAACAGGCTACCAGGTTGGTAAATTACATACGGTGTACTTATTAAATGTTACTGCATGATTTGCGTTCTTTTTAGAGTACATTGTCATATGGTATTGTCACGGTTGAACTACACCCATATAAGTTTGGATGTAGTTCAAGGATACCAATTAACTACTACTTCAGGGTTCAACAAATTTAATACGTGCTGTCCATTTTCATTGGTCAGTCTTACATATGCAGGGTAAGATATCATTGTAATATTATCGCTGTGCTATGCTCTGGTTTGCAGTTAGGTAAGACAAAGGTCTTCCTACGAGCTGGTCAGATGGCTGAGCTGGATGCTAGGAGAGCTGAGGTTCTTGGAAATGCAGCCAGAACAATTCAAAGGCAAATACGTACATACATTGCTCGGAAAGATTTTGTTGTATTGCGCCAAGCTGCCATTCAATTGCAGTCATGTTGGCGAGGTAACTCAAAATGGCTATTTCCAGACCTGATTTCAGCTTTCATCACTTGTTCTAGAAGAGGAGCTCCAAACAAGAAAGCATGTGCATATGTTGTTAGCAAGTAGTAGGACTTCTTAGAGTAAAAAAGTTTAAGCTTGTTTCTTTGAGGTGGTTATTTGAAATGAGATCAAACCAAAGCCAAACAAGATGCCTCTTCAACCTTGCAAAATATTTTATGTGCCAAGTTCATAATAGCGATACACACATGATGGAGTGCCTGCAATTATTACATTATGTTGATGTATATATGGTTTTGATTATGATAACAATTAGTAATATACTTGTAATCTCGTAGATTAAGCCCATTGATATACTTTCCTTTTTTAGTTTGCTCCTAAATTAGTATATAAATCATTGTATATCGTACTCATGAATATTATAAAATGTAAGGCGAGTCAACCCAGTGGGAAGTGCGACTCGAAACTCACCCGAAACAGGCACTTATGAAACAGAAAGCAAACTGGGACTATGTCCGTCTGAGAACCGAAAACCCTGACATGGCCCTTAATACCATATTGAGAGGAATGAAGCAATGTATTCCAAATATTCAAGGCTACAATATACAATGATTTTTATATAAGTCTAGGAGCAAACTAGAAAAGGAAAGCGTGGGCCTAAACTACAATATTACAATTATATTACTGATTGTGATCCTAATCTATACCATCTCCCTGAATGCTGGGGCAACAAATCATACTTGATTAGAAAATACATTATCTAGAAATGTGAAGATTCCTTTTGTGGTGTGTCCGGCTAATAATTGAATTCTACCAGTCAAATGCTACCTGAACCAATTGACCATGGGCATATGCGTACCTGCTGGTTGACTGAAACATAAGATTTTGTTGTGTCGTAATATCCCTGTTTAATCTGTAAAGCAATTTGTTAAATGTGTTTTCTGTCTATTTAGAAACTTCCAGGTTCAACTCTAATTTCCTTTTTGCACTTGTAAGCTATATCCGCTTGCAATCTGTATGAGCAATTGCGACAAGAAGCTGCTGCAATCAAGATTCAGAAGAACTTCAGATGCTTCATTGCCAGGGTATCCTACTCAACGTTGCAGAATTCCACTATCATAGTGCAGACTGGCATGAGGGCAATGACTGCTCGCAATGAATTCAGATTCAGGCAACACACTAAGGCTGCTATCAAAATTCAGGTCTTACTATTACTTTGTGCTGCAGAAGTTCAATCAAGATTTATGAACTTGGAGAGTAAACGAAAGTTGATACACTGCCGATATGCTGGTTATATTGCTTGTTTCAGGCTCAAATTCGTTCTCACCGTGAATATAGTTATTATAGAAGCCTTCAAAAGTCTGCTATTGTAACCCAATGTGGCTGGAGGCGACGTATCGCTAGGAGAGAGCTTCGACAGCTGAAAATGGTCCTGAATTATGCTTGTTATGCCTTTTCATTTTTGGAAAGCAGGTATCATTTTGTACCACAAGTAACCATGTTTGTGCATTGGCGCAGGCTGCAAGGGAAACAGGGGCCCTAAAAGAAGCGAAGGACAAGTTAGAAAAGAAAGTTGAGGAGCTTACATGGCGTGTGCAGTTTGAGAAACGATTGAGGGTAACCATTTTGCCTAAATTTTGGTGATCCATCACTCTTGATTTCTTAACTTGACTGACAGATACTCTTCTTTCTTTTGTTTCTCGAATTTAGACTGAGCTGGAGGAAACAAAAGCACAAGAGATTGCAAAGTTACAGGAGGCATTGCAGTCAATGCAAATACAAGTGGAAGATGCAAATGCTAGAGTGATAAAAGAACAAGAAGCAGCACGGAAAGCAATTGAAGAAGCTCCTCCAGTCATTAAAGAAACCCCTGTCATGGTCCAAGACACGGCAAAGATTGATGCATTAACAGCTGAAGTTGAACGTCTGATGGTAAAACTTTTCTAACTAGAGGATTACTTGTGTATAAAATATCAACACTACAGCATCTTTCTCGATCACATGCTTGCTTACTTTCTCTAACTTTGTTAAGAGGGTAAGGCTAGCATCACACAACTAACTTCTTCAATTGGTTGAATTTCCATAAATCTTACATCTCCATCCATTAGTACTTGCGAAACAGTTAAAAGCGGCTGTACTGTATGACTGGTGATGACCGAATAAGGGCTTTCTTTTCATTGCATTTTTTTTTTCTTTGGCACTTTAGATCAAATCGAATTTTGTAAAAAAGTTTGCTTGAACTTTGTGATACTTTTCAGTGTTCATATTATCCATCATGTGACAAGCTTAAAAGATCTAATCAGGCTATGGAATCACTCCTATAATCTTAGTCTATGTCCTGTGTAGTCGTTGCTGCTGTCAGAAAAGCAGGCTGCAGAAGAAGCTAGAAAGTCCGCTGCAGATGCTGAGGCCAGAAACATGGATTTGGCTAAAAAACTAGAGCAAGCTGAGGGGAAACTGGATCAGCTTCAAGATTCTGCGCAAAGGTAAATATTGTTTTTTCTGGTCATTGTTCATTTCTACCTTTCTCTCGCCCTGTGGGTTGGCTAGGTAATGACCTTTCACCCCTTTTTTGTGTGTGCGTAGAGTTTCTTTGCTGATTATTTGCATTTGACCAGCAGAAAATAAATACCTATATTGCTTCTTCAGTGCTCCATCCCTGTGTAATGTTTAGTTCGAACTCAAAATTATTCACCATAAGAAGCATCAACTTTCTCTGTATTTGTCTTTCCTCGAGCAATAATAAGTCAAACTGTGTTTAGATGTAACATTTTTCCTGCTCGGGGGCAGAAACTGAAAGGAATGGTGAAAGAAGAAAGTTTCCAGTCAGCTCCCTAAATCAAAACAAATTACTGCCACCAAAATTCTACCGACATGTTTTGCTTGCGTTTCATTATTTGTGACTTTTAATCTTTCATGTCAGTCTTGAAGAGAAGCTATTAAACCTTGAATCGGAGAATCAATTACTTCGTCAACAAGCTCTGACCATGTCACCTACAGCGAGGTCCATATCTGCCAGGCCCAGGATGACTATAATTCAGGTAATACTGGTATATATTGTTCTGAGCACTTTTTGGTGATTGAGGTATTCTTATTTTTCCTGGTATCATTACAGAGAACTCCGGAGAATGGAAATATACTAAATGGAGAAACGAAGTTTGCACATGTAAGGCAGTGCTTATGCTCTAATTTGGAAATGTGAAATTGATGCATCTGTGTGAATATTTAGGTTTGAATTTTGTAATGCTTATGTATTCTCGCTTGTCATAGGACACTGCCCTTGTTTTGGCAACTCCAAAGGAGCCTGAATCCGAGGAAAGGCCGCAGAAATCTCTTAATGATAAGCAGCAAGTAAATGGTTGCTCGTTGTGTATATCAAAATTAATATTATGCTGTGTGCCGCTTTCTATTAATTTATATCTCGTCTAAATCCAAAAAGAATAGTTTTCTCTAATGCATACATCAAAATCTGCTGGTCTTCATTAGGAAAACCAGGACCTCCTGATAAAGTGCATTTCACAAGATTTGGGATTTTCGGGTGGCAAACCAGTTGCAGCTTGTGTCATTTACAAAAGTCTTCTCCACTGGAGGTCATTTGAGGTTGAGAGGACTAGTGTGTTTGACCGCATTATTCAAACTGTAGCTTCAGCAGTAGAGGTAAAATTGATCTCTCTCTCTCTCTCTCTCGCACACACACACGCACACACACAAACACACATACATTTATAATGCAAATTATCTATATATCTTGTCTAGCTGCCAAGTTACCGTTACAAACACTAATTATTTGAAATCCTATTGAAGGTTCCTGATAATAATGATGCATTAGCTTACTGGTTATGTAATGCATCCACACTGTTGATGCTACTTCAACACACCCTCAAAGCAAGTGGAGCAGCTAGCTTCACCCCCCAAAGGCGAAGGACATCATCAGCTTCTCTTTTTGGAAGGATGTCACAGGTATGCACCTATCCTTTATAACTTGTCTCTCGATGTGTCCTGCTATGACATTTATCAATTTCTTATGCCTATAATTTTCTTGATTACGTATGAAGGGTTTGAGAGCGTCTCCACAGAGTTCATTTCTCAACAGCCGACTGCTTGGTAGACTTGATGACTTGAGGCAGGTTGAAGCCAAGTATCCCGCGTTGTTGTTTAAGCAGCAACTTACTGCTTTCCTGGAGAAGATATATGGATTGATCAGGGACAATCTGAAGAAAGAGATTTCCCCTTTGCTTGGTTTATGTATCCAGGTAAATATAGCAATAAATCATGCATGCAATAATGGTTTCTGTTCTTCGATTCTATATGCTAGATAACCCTCACTTTGTCTTTTGTACATCTTGTCGGTGTTAAAGATTCAAGGAAATCTTAATACAACAAAAGGATACAAGAATGACATTCCAGTTCCCATGATGAGCTTCTTTTCTGTCCATTCCTGTTTGGTTTCAAAACATTATTTCGTGCAGGCCCCCAGAACATCCCGTGCTAGGTTAGTGAAAGGACGCTCACAAGCAAATGCTGTTGCTCAACAAGCACTAATTGCTCATTGGCAGAGCATTGTGAAAAACCTGGACAATTACGTAAAGATTATGAAAGCAAATTATGTAAGATAAGATGTTTTTTCCTTGATTCAAAGTTAGCTTACTTTTTCTCTTTTCTTGTCACAGTTGAAAGTTTTTATGTTGCTCTAATGTTTTTTTTTAACAGGTTCCTGCTTTCTTACTCCGAAAGCTTTTCACTCAAACATTCTCATTTATCAATGTCCAATTATTCAACAGGCAAGTCTGTCTTTTAGGGACAAAAAAAAGTCTGTCTTTAAGGGAATTATAAAGCCTAATATGAGTAGTGCCCAGTTGAAACCTTTCTCCTATATTTGGGAATTAACTTTATTTTCTTTCAAACTACTCAAGTCTTCTTTTACGGCGCGAGTGTTGCTCATTCAGCAATGGAGAGTATGTGAAAGCTGGGTTAGCTGAGTTAGAGCAATGGTGTTGTTATGCAACTGAGGAAGTAAGCCTTTCATTAGTATTCTGTTGTTGACCTCAATTAAGGTCTTACCAACACATTATTGTGTACAGTATGTAGGCTCAGCTTGGGATGAATTGAAGCACATCAGGCAGGCTGTAGGATTTTTGGTGGGTATCAAAATTCGCTTTCAGTCCTCAGTCTGGATGATTTATTTACCCTCATTTTTTTGTTTCTTAAATTAGCTGGTCTAAATGGATCCTCTATTGAATGCTATTTTAGGTCATCCATCAAAAGCCCAAGAAGACCTTGAATGAAATTACGAAGGAACTTTGTCCTGTGAGTGAACCTCCCTGCACCCATCTCTCTCTCTCATTCTCATTTCTTATTCATTTTGAACTCTAAACAATTTAATCATTCATACAGGTGCTAAGTATCCAGCAATTATACAGGATTAGTACTATGTACTGGGATGACAAATATGGCACTCACAGTGTTTCTTCAGATGTAAGTTCCTTTAACTTGTGTTCGACTATTCGCCTCCGCCTTACAAAGTATATTAGCTTGCCTTGATGCATAAATCTGCATATTTTGTTGAGCTCTCGTTTTTCTTTCACATGTTCGCTGAAGATATTCTTCTACCCTTACTAATTGCATAGGTCATTTCAAGTATGAGAGTTATGATGACAGAGGACTCCAATAATTCAGTGAGCAGTTCTTTTCTGTTAGACGACGACTCCAGGTTAGTTTTCTCAACCATGTTGAGATTTTCAGTTACTGAAGCACTAAATGAAAACTCGAATATATCCTTCTTTATGAGGAACAATGACATTTTCCTACATGACGGACAATTTATTAGTGGTGAAGTTGCTTCTTTTGTACAGTAATGTTGCCTCTCTATTTTAAAATGTGAACAATAAAAAAATACATGTATATTTAGTTCTTGCATTTTATGGTGCTAACATTCCGAGTATAAAACTTTTGTTTTGTCAAAATACTTCGCAGCATTCCTTTCTCAGTAGATGATCTCTCCAAATCCATGCAACAAATAGACGTGGCTGATGTGGAGCCTCCTCCTTTAATCCGTGAGAATTCAGGGTTTGTGTTTTTACATCAAAGATCAGATAAGTGATCATCAGATTTGGGGTTCGGTTTAAAATCCTGCCCCCATTGCCAAACGTGAAGCAGTGGTGATTCTTTTGTACATTCGCTTTCGATTGTTGTTACCGTGTCCAATATCTCCATTGTATATTTTTCGTCAAAATTTGCTTGGGCGACAATTATTGATTGTTCGTCTGGGTTAATATCAGTTTTCTCTTCTCTTGCCTCGTCAACGTGAGAGGCACTGTTAGGAGGCCGTAGTGCTTATAGGTTGTGAAGAATTTCATGTTATAGGCATATGGATTGGGCTTTTGATTGGTTGTTTCCCTTGATTTTTTTGGGGTGTAAAGTGAATCGCAGAATGTTAGGTTTGATTTATTTGTTTATTTTTTTGGGGTAGTGTGAAGAAGAGTGCTTGCAAAGTGTTTTTGTTTGATGCATGCATGGTAATTCAAATTGAACACCATAAATTCATATGTACAGAGATGGATTGGGTTTCTGCTCTTTCGGACAAATATTTTTGTTCTTTTTGTTTTTATCCTTTTGTTTTCCCTCCTAATCCTACCCTACCGTGCCTTTTGTATACCCTCCTGATCGCATCGGTAAATTGTGCCAGTGTTTTACATACGTACCGCCAATCATACTCCACATGTCACTGAAATTAATAATTAATAATGTAATTGATTAAAAATTAGATAAGAACGTAAATTATTAACAAATAAGCATAGAACTTTCAAATTAAGTAAAAACTTGGTAAGATAAACAATTATTAAAATTTGCTATTATTCGGTATTTTAGCCAAAATTTTGGTGGAGTTTTTCAATATAAAAGCGATAACAATCCCATATTTCGGATAAACTAGTCGCGACCCGTGCGATGCACGAGACAATATATTTAAAATGAAACATTTAAAATTTAAAAAATAATAAATTATGAAAGAGTCATTATACATATGACAGTAATACACAACTCGAAAATAACATAGGGAAGTCATATCATATATTATTGAAAATCTTTTTATTATACAAGTTTTTTGTTTGATTTGTTGGAGAGTCATCGTCACCACAAATTAATATTTTTAAACCGTTTTGACTGGTGACACGGGAGCAACGTGTAGGTGGTCCTTCAAAACCAAACTAGCATGTGATAATGATTGTCTCTGACTTTTATTTAGAGTCATAGGATAAGAAACCATAATTGGGAACTGTCGCTCCTTGATTATGTTTGTTTCCATAGAATTATGTTGATTATGTTTGTTTCTATAGAATTAGGAAACTAACCATGCATATTTTCAAGAATTCAATATATATATTTTGGATAGTGATATCAAATGCGTTTATTAAGTTTATATCCAAAGTATCAGGAAACCAACCATATAATATTTTAAAATCGAAGAAGATTCCGTTTTTTTAAAGATACTATTAGCATGTTTGTTTATAAAAATTTTTTGTTTTGTTTGAATTTTTTGATTTGGTTTAGTTGATTTTGAAAAAAGTGGTACGGTTAGTTGTTAGTGGAGCATATTAAAATAATATTTAAAATAAAATTATTAAAATTGATTTGATGTAAAAGTAGGAGAAAAAGAGAGATTTGAAGTGATGGTTAGTTAAAATAATGTGAGTTGATGAATAGTGAACTAAGATTGATGTGGTGTGTATGAATGATTGATTGATATTATTTAATTATATTGATAATTTTGATGATAGTGGGGTTGAGTTAAAGTTGAGTTAAAAAAAAAAAGTGTTGAGTTAAAATGTTGATTTTTTTTTTGAAAAATTCCATAAACAAACATGATCATATCTTCCAATCTATACTAACTTGTTGAAAATGATGCCATTCCGGGTACGAATCAATTTCTTTTTTAGTTTAAAAATTGCTCGAAATAATTCCAAAATTTCCACGAATTTTTCGTATTGATATGTACCAAAGATATGGAAGTTTGGTCAATTTTACAAACAATGGTTTTCTAGTAGTTTTAGTTTTAAATTGATTAATAAAAATATTCNACTTAGAATATACATACCATTTTTGCAGTAAATTAAAACTGAGTAAATAAATATTTATAAATGTTGTTTTAAACATTATTGTAAATGGATATTGTTTGAAAAGGAATATCTCTTTAAATGTTATTAAGTTATCAATCTTGTTTAGTTGGAAAATCGCTAAAAATGATTCCAAGATTTGTACAAATTTTTTATATAATATGTATTAAAGATATGAAAGTCTGCACAATTTTATGGACAATGTTATTCTAGTAGTTTTTCAATTTAACATATTTTAAATTGATTAACAAAAGTAATTCAAGCAAAAAAAATCATAAATCTTTTTTAGTTCGACATAAATTTCTGACCCAATCAGTTTAAAGAGAAGAACACAAATAACCTGATCGGTTTTTAAAATTTATCGATAAAAAAATTTGATACATAAGTTAATGAAAAAATATTTGTCTTTCAAATTAAACAAAAAACACAGTTTTCATTAAATTATAATAACAATTACTATTATTGGAAAGTCAATCAAATGTTGACCAATAAAAACTTTCTAATTTTAATAAATCCAACAACCTCTTTCAATTATTATAGATAGTATCTCAGAAAAAATGACATTTAATGGGTTATCATATTTTCCAATATAAAAGCAGTACAATTCGGTATTTTGACAAAAATTATATTAATGAGTTATCATACTAGCCGTCTAGTTAGACAATCAATATTCGATATTATCAGTAATACCGACCAATATGATATTTAAAATACTGAACTAAACATTTGGAATTTGGAACCTACAAATTTAGACTCTACAGTTTGGATTTTCCCGTTTACAAAATTTTACTAACACTTCAAGAATTTTGAGAAAGAGATAAATGAATAAATTAAGTAAAAGTTATTATATGTTATTGATAATCATCTTACGACATTTGCAATGGGGCGTTAATTCGCCCCGTTTAAATGGCATCTGGGCATTAACAAGGATGTGGGCGTTGCATTAAGGGAGTGGGACCTTTTTTCCGTTCATTGCATTGAACGGTGCCTTTTCTATTAATTTTTTTTGTTGTTATTTAATTATTTAATTTTTTTTATTTTTTTTAAAAAAAATTATATTGAATGAGTGGAGTCCCATATATGTATTTAAATGAATGGATAAGAATGTGAGTGTGTGTTTAAATGGAGAGATATTTAGTGAAAAGATGATGTGGAGATGTTGTAAATGAGAGAAAGAATGTTAATTTTTTATTAAATGAATGGAAGGGTTGTGGATGGTGTTGAGAGTGGACTATGACACCTAACCCAAGTGACTTGGAATGCAAGTTGTATTTTGGATAATTTTATAAATGTTGTGGTGATTCAATACTAACCTAACGCTATCATCATGATCGACCTGAATATATATATATATATATATATATATATATATATATATATTTTAAATAGGTTTATGAATAAATTAGTTTTTTGTTTCATGTAGTTATATTTATGATAAAGCAATAATATTTGAATTTAAAACCGATAAATTTACAAATAAACTAATTATTATTTTTACATATCAATATAAAAAAATAGTATATTCATATTTATTTTTTAAAAAATAATTTATTTATTCTTATATACATAATTAATTTACTTTTATTAAAGCCAACATTTAGCAAGCAAAAATTATTATCAATATATTAATTATTTTATTAGTTGATTAAGGAAAAATCGATGCAATTAGGCTTAAATGTAACATCATGCTCTTATTATGTGATTTGCGTCTATTTTCTACGAATTATGTTTTTTTATTATTAATTAAAAAATAATGATATTTTTTTAACAATTCCTAAGGAATGATTTATTTTTATTTCATAACAAGTATTTTGAGAGACATTTTCAAGGGACATTTTCTCCAGACATTGACAAGAAAGATCAAGAACAAATCATAGAATTTCGAATAAGGTCAAAATTTCTGGAGGAATAAGATTTCAATTTCTCAAAATTTTGAGACGGGTTAATGGTCTTCATGTCATGGAGTTAGTATAAACCGAGTCCCGATTGGCCCTTATGCCATTATCATGGTTTGGGTAGAGTGTGCCAGATATAATCGATAAAATGCCATGGTTATCATGGTTTGGGCAGAGTGTGCCAGATATAATCGACAAAATTTGAACAGAGTGGGCCAGATATAATCGACAAAATTCCATATAATAGGCGTGTTTGGAGTGCGGTGGGTGAGGTGAATAATAATATATATAGATATTTGCTCATAAAACCTTTTAAAAGTCAAACTAAACCAATTTGCACAGATATGAATAATGATATTATTTAAAAATATTCTTGAAATATCTATTAACACTAATAATTTCTTTTTCTACATTTGAGTAGAAAGGAGTAAGAACCTAAATAATTTAAACAAATAATAATATCTTGACCAAATTTTTCAATATTTATACTTAATCAATTCATTACAAATAAATTTTATCTATCCATTTGGATAACAATTTTAAAAGTTTCATATACATGGATAAGGATAACTTTAGAGTAATTCAGATTTGATTTTTTAAATAGGACAAAAGATAGAATAATTTTTCAATAATAATTTACTTTTTTATGCATCCAGTTAATTATTTTACGACGATTTATAAATAAATATCTTATTAACTATAAAAATGTTACTTATTATTTAATATATCATCACTGCGCAGAAAATAATGGGGTTGTATTTAATTAGGATTTTTAAGGACTTTTTAAGACTTTAGAAATCCTGGTGTATTCAATTTAGATTTGTTAAGACTTTTTAAAACTTTTAAAATCCTGAGGTATTCAATTGGGTTTTTCAAAAGTCTTACAAAATCCTGAGGTATTTAATTTTTTTGACACTAGGATTTATTAAGACTTTTTAAGATTTAGTGGGATTTCTAAACAAAAAACCTTATATGAAATCCCACTTCTAAAATTAACGGTAGAGTTAGAAATATATGTAAAAGTAAAGCTGACAGGTAAAATGAATTCAATATATAGGAAAGTAAAGTTGATAGATTAACGGTAGAGTTAGAAATATATGTAAACATAATGTTGATATGTAAAATCCCCTTCCCCTCTATATATATAATTTCAGAATGCGTTGAGTCTACGTGGCAAACTCTATGCTTCAAATTCCTATTTGGCAGAAAACCATGCTTTGGATTTAGGCTTGCATATAAATTAATATTTTTTTATCACATTAAATTCATAATTGATACATCACATTTTATTTTCTTATAATTCATTCATTAGTTTTTATAAATGTTTTTTCTTCTTATTTTAAGATTTTATAATATTTTTGTTTGTATTTTATTTTTCATATATGATAAATCAAATTAACCATCTTTTAACGATTTCGATTTGACATCCACATTATATATATAAAATACAAAACAGTATTATATTCTTTATAAATAAAATTTAAATTTATTATTAAACTAAATTAAATAATATCAAATAAAACTATAAATTATATTATAAAGTAATAGATATTGGTATGTATTCTTTTAAAAATAATATTTACATCAAATCTAATTGGTATGTTGTCAATCTAATAAAAATAAATAGTTATTTATCTAAATTCTAAAATTAAATATAAAGTTAAAAAAACTGTGAAGCACGACTGATACGACACTTGATGTATTAAGCATTTAATTAAGTAAAAAAATTAATCTATTTTGCTTAAGATTAAATAAACATATTCTACACTTATCCATATCACCATATTATTTTTATTTATTTAAGATATATATTTTTGTACTTATATAATAGTAAATAATATCGATATTTTTATATGATATAAGTAAAAAAATCAACACGAGTTGACATTTTCATTTAATGTACGGGTGTTTAATTATTATGATTAAAAAAATATAATTTAACAATTTAATTAAAACCCAAAGTAAAATTTTATATAAAATTAAATTATTTAAGTTGTTAAAAAATAAAAAATTTAATATTTTTTACAAAAGCTTTCTAATTCAACACCCGTGTAATACACGAGTATTGTACTAGTGAATTCAATATTTGTAAAAGTAACGTTGATAGGTAAAAATGAAATCTGTCTCGATTAGCTTATGTCAATAGACCCGTAGTATTATATCATAGAAAATATATTACATACAAGTTTTTTGTATTAATAAATAGTTGTAATAATTCTAAGAAATAATTTACAAGTATAGACAAAATAAAAGTATAATATAATGCATATAAATTTTATTTCTCCATTTAAATAACCTCAATAAAATTTAAAAAAAAAATCAACAAAAAAATAAAATAAAAATTACAAGTATTGACTAATGTAAAATAAAGCACAATTCACATATCCTTTAACCTAGACTAAAAGTTAAACCCAACCTAGCTAAGACATCAAATCATCTTCATCTCAGCAGCATTACATACCAAGTTGACAAACAAGACCATGTAAAACAAAGAACTAATCAAATCAGCTCAACAAGTTATCACCAACAGTAAACAAACAGACCAGCTTACTCTTNCTTTTTTTTTTTTTTTTAATCTGCATGCTCTGCTATTGACGACTCTGTAACCTCATCATAATCGTCCGATTTGACCGAATTCTCAACTGCCGACTGGTCAAACCGAGCCTCAACAGGCGGAACTTCTGTTTTCTTCTTTTCCTTGAGAATGACTTGCCTTGGCATAACTTCCAGTAAAAAATTGCCCCCATTCCATACAGCTGCAGAGACCTTGAGCACTTGAAAAGTGATGTGCAATTCATAGGACAGGAAAATCGGGACCGTAAGTGCTGTTGTGGCCACCGTAAACATCGCCTGAAACAAAATGTACATAAACATGCGGTTCTGGTCCCCGAGCAATCCACTAAGTCGCCACCACACATTGTTTGCTTTCTGTGCTTTTTTCGAGAGTTCTCTACAGGATGTGAAATTGAAAATAAAAAATAATAATAAGCTTTGGGGAGAAAATAAATTAACAATATCGTTACAACCAAGGGGAAAAATCAAAAAGATACAAAATTTCAAATTTATGCATAATTACAGACTAAGGGATAATTACATACAATTAAGATATTTATCCTGTATGACCTTTTAATGTATTATCTAAGATTAAAACCTGTAGGAAGTCATGACTTCTGGATCTCTTAGCAGTCTCTGTCTACGTAGAACGTTTACAATGAGGAAATAAAGAAGCTGCCAGATAAGGTAAACAACCAAAGGAACAGCAAAAAGCCATGTCCACAGATAGGATTTGCTTTCTACATACGGCCATGATGCTCTACGAGCGGTTCCCTCAGGATGCATGGCTTCGAAAAACACCGGGTCCCACCATCGGATTGTGAAGAACACCAATCCTGACCAACAAAAAAAGAATAAAAAAAATTGATTCAAAGGTGAATAACAGCTGCAAGATAGTTTAAACATGAGGAGACAAGTATTTTAATAGTGTCCTTTTTTTATTTTTTATTTTTTTATTTTTTTGGGAGAGGCAAATACAAAAGAAGTAGACTGATAAGAAACATTACGGAGCTTCAGTGGAAAAGTCTGAAAAAGACATCTCATATCAGATGTGTAAAAGAGGAATGATATTATAATTTATATTCAGAGCTAAAGAATGAACGGAAAAATTATCCTGAAGTTTACTATATAGAAAGACCAAATATAGATGATTGATTGATTGTAGATGTTTTCATGAATGCTGATGCATAAACTGGGGAAAAACCTCAAACTAGCATGAAGGTCATTGTAAAATGGAAGTAAAAAAATTAAAACTCCTACGAATAAAAAAATTATTGAACCAACAGAAACAGACAGAATTTCCTTCCTACAATTAGTTAAGGGTTGTCTTACCAGGCAGTAGATGAATAAAGACGCTTACGATTTTGTCCACAGAATTGAAAACCAAGCTGCATCGCCAAACAATTAGAGCCCATGCCAACGGCCCCTAAACAATTTCACTTATCAAGAAACAGAAATTCTACATAAAAGAGGCTATGTCATACAACAGTACAAAAGCAACATCAATTGTGGTTTGCTTACCTCTGCAAACGAGAAGCAAACCATGAAAAGCTTCTCATTTCTAGGATAACACAGCAGCATAATCAAGAATATTGTGTTAGCATAATAGCAAAAATCCTGCATGGGAAAACCTCATGTGTGAGTCGTCAATTTCTTATCTGTCTATAATGGTTCAAGACTTCAAGTACCAAGTTTTAAAATGAATACTGAAAAAACCAGGTAAACATATCAATGGGAGCTAGAAAAAGCATAAGAAATTTAGAGGATGATACAAACTTTACGTGGGAATGCCCTGAATACAGAACCTACATAACTTCTGAAACAGAAAATACATCTAAGTTAAATCTTTGAGCAGAAAATAGCTAAGATAATGGTTGTTACGTTAGAGAACTGGTTAAACTTAGCTTCAAACAGNAAAAAAAAAAAAAAAAAACGTCATATGAGTAGAATAGCCCAATCACAAATGAGACATTACCAACAGCAATTATACCAAATAGCTAAAACTAAATGCAAAGACGACATGGAGCTTACCAGAAGATAATAGTGCCATTTCTTGTATCGGTAATAAATCCACCGAAGTGGGACGAAAATCACATAGAACAAGCAATACAGGTATCGAACATCCTGCGGCCCTGATCAATTTAAACCATAAAAAGATGAATTCAGGAAATAATTGCAATTGGTTGCAATAAAAAACTTCCTACTCACTTGCACCCAAAATAAAGCAGAAGCCTCCAAATCCAAGAACACCCAGCAAATGTGTCACCTACATTTTCACCAATCCCAAATCAACACATATAAAATTACCACAGATAAAGCTAAGGGATTTCAATTACATTTCATGTTCATATCGTATCAAGTACACATGATTAAGTAACCAACAGTCAAATAGAAAATTAAAGACCTTAAAACACTCACTCAATCACACACGCAACTTCTGATGCCTATTACCTTGTTGATAAACCTTTCGTGCTCCTCAGCCTGCTTAGCGATCTTCACGGCTTGTTTGGACAAGATCTTTTTGGTCTGAACCGCTTGCTTAGACAGCATCTCCTTCGTTTGAGCCACTTTCTAACCAAAAATCAAACCCACTCCGCATCAAGAAACACCATCAAAATTGCAATCAAATGGGAAAAAAAAAAGATCACAAAAACGTGCCCAACAATTTATACACCACAACTACAGAAACAAACATAGGTGAGTTCAGCACGAAAGGTCCTACCTTGGATGGATCTCTGAGCCTAAGCTTAACCTTATTTCCGTGCGAATAGCCGTTAGAATCATCCGCCTCCATGGTCTCTTCGTTGCCGGCCATCAAAATCTTGTTTCTGTATCAAGAAGTTCTTATATAATTTTTTAGCTGGAATTAGAAAAGAAGGTGATTGTGATATGGAAAGGTTTGCTTCAATATCCTTTCTTTGAGCGAGGGCTATATATATACAACCTGTTTGCGTGTGAGTATGAATGGTCGACGCGTTGTTTCTTGTTGTTTAGCCGAAGTGCGGAAAACATTTAATAATTTTTCTCGTCTTTTATGATGAGGCCTTTGATGATTGTTGTCATTAAGCTGCTAATTAATTGCGGCTTAAAAGTTTTTTTTCTTGTTCTACACTACTAGTGTGTATCCCGTGCGCTGCACGGAGGGGTTTTTACTTAAAACCTTTTCTAAAACTTTATATTAAACATAGTTATTTATGTTTAACATCTTATTATTATAAAAAAAAGAAATACCAAATATGAAAAATTATATATTATTTATTTGAATATAATGAGTGTCCCCAACCAAACTAATAACATCCAACATATGATATATGATAAAATTAATTATATGATCGTCATACTTTTTGAAAAAATATACATATATTTCTAATAAACATGTAAGATCCGCATTTAAATTTGTATTTGGATATGAGATGAAAAATGAATATGTACAAACAAAAAAGTACCAAGAACCTACATAAAATGAGATTCTTTATAAACTTTAAAATATTTTGTAGTTAAGCAAATATTAACAAACAAAATCATCAATTACATTTGACCTTATCGAATATAAAATATAATTTATGATATCATTGACCATATTTACCCGTTGTATTTAAAGTTATCATTGACCATATTTTTATGAATTAAGGTTTACAAAATATCTTTTTCAAAATGACAATTTTTTTTAATTTGAATTTGACTTTTTCATCCAACCGCCATTTTCCAAAAAAATAAAAATAGTATTTTGGAAAATTTTAGACGTGAAAATCAAATAAAATTAATTTAATAGTAATCGATTAATTTAATATTATTCAAAATTGTTTAATTCGGTCAACCCGATCTTAGTGCACGTTTAATTGAAACAATCGCTTACAAAAAAAAAAGGTAATCGCTTACAAAAAAAGGAAGTGAAATCTATCTATATAATATAAATCGGATTTGAAAAAATAAAGGAAATGAAATTTCATAATTAATTAATTTAAATTGATGTTATCCGATTTATATCAACTCCCTTCCAAAAAAAAAGGAAATATCCGATTCCTACCAAATCGATTAAAAAAAAAGGATTATGATATACGTCCAAATAAATTACAATTGAAATGTAGGCGGGATTATGAAAAAAAAATAAAAAAACTTTACCGAATAAAGTAATAAAACGAAAAAAAAAGCGGGAATATGAAGCGGGAAAATAAGATAATTTTTTTTGAGTTTTTTGAACAATTTTTCTTAGTCGTAATAATAGTAATAGATTTCCAAAATGTTACCACACATTTTTTTCTATTTTTCTTGTTTTTATTAAATTTTATTTACATAAGATATACATTGGTTAATTTTAAATTGAATCTAAAAGTCAACTCCTCACACTTTTCGAAAAATGTTACCACACAATTTTTTTTTTCTTATTATGTTTTATTTACATAAGATATACATTAGTGGTTAATTTCAAATTAAATCTAAAATTCAACTCCTCACATTCTTGAATTTGAATTTTTAAATAAGGAAATGTGTTTCCATATTTTTTGGTAGTTAGAATATGTTGGATTCATTTATCTATAACTAATCATACACGTATTCAAAATTTGAACCGAAACAAAATTCTTTGAATTTTTTGCTAACAAAATCACCTTCCCATAATTTATTTATTTCAAAAAATGTTACCACACAATCTTTTTAATTTTGTTTTTCTATTAAATTTTATTTACATAAAATATACATTTGTTAATATTAAATTGAATTTAAAATTCAACTCATCACAAATTTGTATATATATATATATATATATATATAGAGAGAGAGAGAGAGGGGATTCTCTTTTTTGTACATATTTAAAAAAAATCTAATCAAATTTTGAATCCCGAATTAAAATCGAATTGTAATGTGAACTGAAAAGATTTGAAATCTAATCATGTTGTAGATAAGGGAAATCCGTGGCAAAAAAAGGGGATGAAAAAAATTCAAATTAAATTTAAGGGGAAAAACAGTTTTTTAAGCGGGAATTTGAAATATTTTTTCAAACATTTTTTCTTCTCCGTATTATATAGTAATAGATTATAAGTAAGGCGCATGATAGGGATAATAGTAATTAAGGGTCAAACCGGCGGAATCAAGGGCACATGACGGACCAAATCAAGGGCACATGACGAACCAAATCCCGCTCAAGGGTCGACCGGACACAATCGGCCCAAGACCTAATCGACCCTTATGGGCATCGACCCTTACGACTGCGTCGACCCTTACGACATAGAGCTCGACTGGACCAATGGGTCGATCCCCACCTCCTGCCTTGAACGCGGACCGATAGATAGGACATCGACCCTTACGCCTCGGCGGTATCACGCTTGGTCGACAGACATTCTGGGACCGGGTCCCGAGAAGAAAGACGTACACCGTCACTATATAAAGGGTAAATGTCGCGAATGGAAGGTAACACTTATCATTATTACATTTCTACAACATCAATTACACACATTTTCTCTCTCAAAACCGAGACACTAACTTGGGCGTCGGAGGGTCTTGCGCCGGAGCAATTCCGGCGTATTTGCAGGTACCGGCGAGCATTCGAGCTTAGATCGGACCGAGTTAGACATGTTCACACCGCAACCGGGAAGAACCATTTGAAAGACCGAAGTCACCTATCTCGGACCATATCAAATTGGCGCCGTCTGTGGGACTCCCTAGCTCAACCGGTGTTGATCTGGTGGTATCTCATACATAGCAATCAGAAAGCAAGTTAAGGAGGAGAAAACGAAGTGAAGAAGATGGAGCAAGAAAGAGAACAGGAGCAGAGGGAAGAGGATAACTCGTGGTTGCACAAAGCGCCCTGTGGGGGCGGGGCCGCCGCCGAGATGGGTATTGTGCGGAAGCACGCCGGTGACCCCAGCCCCTGCCATTCAACGGCCACCGGAGCAGTCTGGAGCAATTGCAAATAGCCCGGCGCTAACAGATGTAATGGAAACGCCAATAAGGCCGGGCGCAGGCGTATTACGCCGTGGGACAAACGGAGAGGAAACGCAGCTCCATGAGGAGACGATGGAGGGGACTGGAGCAAACACCCAACTTCTCACTCCGGAGCAGCCCATACAGATCACGCCTAGCGCGTTGGAGAGGATGATAGCTGCCGCGGTGGAAGCGAGAATGGCGTCGGTCTCACTGCCGGTTAGGGAAGCAGTTGTTCGACCCGGAGCTCAAGGGGTAGGGGATCAACCCGGGGCGCGGGAGGTGATAGCTCGACCAGAGGCAACAACTCGACCAGTCGGGCAACAGTTGGTCGTGGGAGGACAGGGGCATGAGCCAGAGCAATCGGTCCACTCATCAGAGGCCTTACCACAAACGCCCAGAGACTCAGTCTTAGAGCACATGGCGGAGCAGTTGCGCGAGCTTCAAGAGAAGGTCAATGGGCGTCGAAGTCCGTGTCATCCACATCACCCATTTGCAGACGAGGTGTTGAGAGCAGAGCTGCCGCAGGGATTTCGAGAACTTACCATGGCGTATGATGGCTCTACCGACTCGGCTCGACATCTGAGGAGCTTCGAGAACATAGCAGTGTTGCACAGGTACAGCGACGCGGTCTGTTGTCGGGCCTTTGTGACCACATTGGAAGGTGCTGCCCAGGATTGGTTCCATCAGCTACCACCAGGCACTGTTAAGGACTTTCGAGGCCTTCGCTCATTGTTCACCAACCAGTTCGCGAGCGCGAGAAAGCATGAGAAGACGTACTTATCCTTGATAAATTTGCAGCAGAAGGAGGAAGAGACATTACGAGCCTATATAGCCCGTTACACTCGCGCGTGCGTCGAAGTGCCAACCGCCGCAGAAGAGATAAAAGCTGGAGGGCTGACCTGTGGACTGCGACCGAGACCTTTTCGGGATTTTATCTAAAAGACCGGCCCAAAGTTTCGATGAGTTGTTGGAGAGAGGGGGCAAATATATGAACATGGAGCAGCACGTAGCACCAGCTCGATCCATGGAGCAGCACGTAGCACCAGCTCGACCCATGGAGCAGCACGTAGCACCAGCTTGACCCATGGAGCAACACGCAGCACCAGTTCGACCCATGGAGAAGCACGTAGCATCAGCTCGATCCATAGAGCAGCACGTAGCACTAGTTCGATCCATGGAGTAGTACGTAGCACCCCGACACGAAGACGATGGGCCTGAACAGTCTCAGGCCATGAGAGATCCCATGCTAAAGCAAATGGTAGCACAGTTGCATGACCAACTCAATTCAAGGGAATTCTGGGGCAGGTAGGTCGATCTACCCCCGACCAATAATATCGGGTGTCCCCGAAGACTTGCTCCTGAAATGTATCTCGGTCACGTGATATTCTTCGACCAACAAGGCCCCTTTGATTGCTGCGCACATATTGCATCTTGCATCGACCACTCAAGCATCTACCCCTCACGCCTCGACACCACGCATCAACCTCTCGAGCGTAGATATCTTGAGCTTCGCGCTCGACCTCCTTGTCGCGGTCGACCCTCGCTTGCCCGACGCTGTCTCTTTGGTCGACCCTCGTGTGGTGCTCGAATACGCTGAGCTCGACACCTGCCAGACCCTACGTGGCCGTCTTCCGCTACTCAAGGTGTTTGACGAGAACATTCGAAACGCGAGACTTGCACGGTCTTCTATATAGACGCCAAGCAGAGGAACGCGTGATGGTCACGACAACTATCAGTAACCTTAAAATTGTTGAAAACTATGTTGGCGTGGCTGAATCACTGTTTAATTATTCTCTTTTATATACTGGTTGACATGCTCACGAGGTGTTTGGCATAATACCTGAATGAAAGAACAGTTTATAGCCTGCCAATAATTTGTGGACCATTATGCGTCACTAAGAGGTGTTGGAAAATAATATGTCATTAGTGCTGTTGAGGCTGAATACTAGTCATGATATAGCCTATTGCTTCCGATTGTTAAAATTGAATAAATTTATTTGCGTGGGATAATGAATTCGGGACAATCTTGATTGAAACTTTGGGCATGATTGAGAATCCCCTAAATGTGTTGTCGTAGAAGTGTTCAGCGA